TACAAAAGAAAATATCAAATTGAATTAAAATGGATTAAAAAAAAAAGAATAGATTTAATTTTAAGAAAAGTAACTTAAATTGCAATTAAATGAAAAAATAAAAAAGTGGAATAGTGTCTCTTTCCTACCATTATTTCCCGATTCTAAGTCGAAATGGAATTTTTCAGCTGCTTTATTAAGGCCAATCTGAAAGTTCTTGAAATCCTGTTCGTCCCCGTTCATAATTCCATTTACTGCTGCAACGCTGATTTCTTTGACATACAGTGGAACCAAGACAACTCTTTCCAACATCATTCCTGATAGAAGACAATGATGCCAATGTTAGTTTATTAATATAAGCCTTAGTTGTTAATTTTCCAATATTAATCTCTCCATGAAGCTTTAGATACACGTGTCGACAGCAGGAGATAAGCTCATATAGGACAAAACTTTTTTTATTTTTTTTGCTGATATCTTTCTTTCCAAACATTTTTTTTAACTTATCTATTTCCAAATACACAATATTTTCTTGTACTTATATATTTCCAAATGCCCACTATTTTTCTTGTGCTTTTATATTTCCAAATGCCCAATATTGTTCTTGTACTTATATATTTCCAAATGCCCAATATTTTTCTTGTACTTATATTTTCCAAATGCCAATATTTTTCTTGTACTTATATTTTCCAAATGCCAATATTGTTCTTGTACTTATATATTTCCAAATGCCCAATATTTTTCTTGTACTTATATATTTCCAAATGCTCAATATTGTTCTTGTATTTATATATTTCCAAATGCCCAATATTTTTCTTGTACTTATATATTTCCAAATGCCCAATATTTTTCTTGTACTTATATATTTCCAAATGCACAATATTTTCTTGTACTTATATATTTCCAAATGCCCACTATTTTTCTTGTACTATTATATTTCCAAATGCCAAATATTGTTCTTGTACTTATATAATTCCAAATGCCCAATATTGTTCTTGTACTTTTATTTTTCCAAATGCTCAATATTTTTCTTGTACTTATATATTTCCAAATGCCCAATATTTTTCTTGTACTTTTATATTTCCAAATGCCCAATATTGTTCTTGTACTTTTATATTTCTAAATGCCCAATATTGTTCTTGTACTTTTATATTTCCAAATGCTCAATATTTTTCTTGTACTTATATATTTCCAAATGCCCAATATTGTTCTTGTACTTTTATATTTCCAAATGCTCAATATTTTTCTTGTACTTATATATTTTTGCTTTCACCATTTCTGGTACTTTCCTTCTTTGGTTTAGTAACACTAAAAGTCGGGTATATTTACCTGCACTATCGACGCAGTTGGCCAAGAAATATTTCTCATCATAGATCTCGGTTAAACAATGTTTCCAAAATTAAAACACTTAGTATTGTTGGCACCAATTTTGACTCGGCCTTTGCACTGGCAGCAAACTGAACTATGCATGGTAGTTCGTTGTCTTCCAAGGATACGTGCCAGCGTTTGTACATC